TAAAAAAAAAAAACTACTAGCAGTACAGAATAATACTTCTGGGTATTTTGCTTTGACTGAGAATGTCTCCTACAGTCTCAGACATTTGAACACTTAGTCCCCAGGCAGCAGTGCTGTTTGGTGAGCGTTAGGAGGAAGTATGTCACTGAAGGTGGGCTTTGGAAATGAAAGACCCCACAAACTTCCAGCCCACTCTCTCTGATTTGTGCTTGTAGCTGAAGGTGTAAGTTCCAGCTTCCTGCTGCTGCTTGGTGCAGTGATTTTCCACCAGGATGGGTTCTCTCCCCATGACAGTGCAAGCCCAAGTAAACTAACCCCATCCTGAAAAGTTGATGTGGTCATGGTTTATCACAGCAACAGAATAGTAACTAATACAGGAATCACAAATAATTCAGTTCCTTAAAAAACAAACAAAACGACCAGCCAACGAAAACAAACAAAACTGAAGGGAAAAAAAAATGTGTTCTTTAAAATGTCAGGAAGTCTCACCACCATATAAATGGACCTTATTTCTAGCTCTCTGCCTGATCATTTCCTAATGGACACTAACTAGGGTATTTCTTGACTTTTGTCTGCAAACTAGTTTTAGGGCTGGGGAGAGGGCTAAGTAGGTGAAAGTGCTTGCTTCACAAGCTTGCTGCTTGTGAAGTGAGTTTAGTCTTTGTCACTCATGTAAAAAGCCAGATGTGGTAGCATACATCTGTAATCCCAGAACTCCTGCAGAGGGAAGGGAGATAGAGACAGGCAAATCTGTAGATAACTTGCTAATGCCATCTTGTCTTCTGGTCCAGCTATTGGCTTGTGTGCTGATGTGACATTTTTTGTTATCCATGTATGTTTCTGTGAGCCACCTTTAGCTGTGATGTTATAGGAAAATAATGTGACCCCCCACCAAAAAGTTTAATTCAAGTTGGCATATAGGTAAGCAAAACATACATGTAAACTCAGTCCAAATTCTTTCCAATTCCTATGACTTAAAAACAAATCTATTTTAAAATTACAAAATAACCCCAATCTTCTGAACTGATAATACAGTGGCTTGTGTTACTATTAGATACTTAAATAATGTCCATGTCTGAGTTTCAAATACCACCACTTCCTGGGTCTTTATTACAGTACTCTGTGCAAATATCAGTAAATGTAATAGAAGACTAGTATAGCTGAACATTGTTACTCCTTGGGTTGTTCCTTGTTGCAATGTCCAGATTGTGTCACAAAGGGTTCAGCAAGACACATCACTGGGCATCAGGGTTCCCTATTACAGGTTGTTAGTCTTGCTGATAAAAGAATTTAAGGTTTAGAATGAAGCTTGAGTACCATTTTACTAGACTTTGAAAGGAAAACCAGAGGACAGGCAAGCCATAATGTCAGTAAAATGGGGCATAGGAAAAAGGGAGCGCAAAGGAGACTTTCTCATCTCATGTGGGCTTAACTCAGGAGTTAGCGTGTCAGAGGATCAGTCACAGAAAGGTCCCCTGGGTCAGTGACTCTGAGTCCTTGTCTGCAACCTGAAATTCATGGTTGCTAGAGGGAGATGTGTGTTCTTACTGTTTTTGAGACAGAATCTCAGTGTGTGACTCTGGTTGGTCTTGACCTTGAACTCACAGAGATCTGCTTGCCTCTGCCTCTGGAATGCTAGCATTAAGGGCACTCTCAGTCAGTGAAGGTTCTCTAAAAGTTATTTTAGAGGCAGTGGCAGGAGGATCTCTGAGTTCAGGCCAGTCTGGTTTACAGAGAGAGAGAGTTCTAGAACAGCCAGGGCTACATGGAGAAACCCTGTCTTGAAAAACTAAAATAAAAAAAATTATATTTATTGTGTACGTGTGCGTGTGTGTGTTTTATTGTGGAAGTCAGAGAACACTTTGAAATATTGGATCTTTCCTTCTACATAATGGTTCCAGGGATCAAACTCAGGTCAGGCTTTCAAGGCAAGTGCCTTTATCCACTGAATCATCTCATTGGCCTACCCAAGTATGAGTTTTAAAAACAGTTTATTATAGAGAGAAGGTTTAAGAAAAGAAGGATTTCAACTTGCTGAAGACAGCAGAGCATAGGACAGTAGCCAAAGCTCTATGGGGGATCCAAGAAAGGGCTGTGGACAAGGTTAGATTGGTTCTAATATGGGAGAAGGCCCCAAGAAGGCAGGGAAAGCCACAGAGCTACATTGCAGTGGCTTTTACAGTACTTAAGGCAGAATCTTGACCCACACCAAGGGAACTGTCTTGAGATTTGTTAACTCTCTGTGCATCAAGTTCAGCCAATGGAGAGCCCACCCACTCTATACATGTTTCTCTGACCCAAACCAAGGAAACGATTATGGGGTAGTCACTGGTTGTTCATGTGTTGCTCACTTGGGGTGGCTGAAGCTCCCTTCTGTCCGTCTTTGACTTCCCTTGTTAGCAGTTGACGTTGGCCTATCTGCTGGCTAGCTTCTCATTAGTTGCTGATCTTAAAGATATTGCTGGTTTTCGGCCTTTGGAGGGTCCACTAGGCATTAATAAAACTGTATCTTTTTGTTCTCACATTTGGGTGCCAAGCTTGAATTTTATTAAAGATATATCATGTACTTAGTGGGAGCTCTTTTTTTTTTTCTTTTTTTCTTTTTGGTCTTTTGAGACAGGGTTTCTCTGTGGCTTTGGAGGCTGTCTTGAAACTAGCTCTTTTAGACCAGGCTGGTCTTGAACTCACAGAAATCCACCTGTTGCTGCCTCCCAAACTCTGGGATTAAAGACATGCTCCACCACCGCCCAGCAAGGTGGAGGTTTTTAGAAGCCATTCTTAGCCATATTAAGACTGCTACAACTGGCAATTTTAGGGTGAAGCTATGTGAAAGGGTAAGGGTGCTTTGCACAGGCTCCTGGGATGGGATTGTGGAGCCCATGGGAGCCATCCCGAGCCTCTCCCCAGAGCGCTGTGCTTCTCTTGTCTGGTTTTAGCCATCTCATACTCAGTTACAAGGCCTTTTATCCTTCATCCCTGGTATTCCCAACGACTTTAATCTTAATATTGATGCCTCATCTTTAAAAAATTATTTTATATGTGTGTGTGTTTTCTATAGAAGGAAAGTCGGGATAGAGGAGTTGTGTCTTTGAGTAGTGTCAGCAATGAAGGTCTGCAAGCAGCAGGACTGGGATAGTCTTCAGAGAAAAGTGAGAAACCTGAGTGTCAGGGCTTGGGATTTTAGGTATCTAATTTCAGTTATCTAGAGATTTAAAAAGGAAAAATTACATTTTTAAGGCTTAGAAAGATGGCAGGTTTAGCTGTGAAGTCTGTCAGCAACTGCCTCAAGAGGGAGGCTCCTGGGATGATTAAGCATATTTTCTCATTAAGGGAACAATTATTCCTCTCATTTTCTTAGCATGTCTTCAGGCACACTGGCTTTCCTGAGTAGTCTCTTGCTCAATGATTGACAGGTCCAGTTGGACTAACTCTTAAGGGAGGAGATGATAGTATTTACTATTCTAATTTCTGAAAAGATTAAACTGTTATGTCTCCAATTAGGGTCAGAGGTCAAAGTCGGATTCCATTCTTTTGACCAGGGGGAGGTAGCTTCCCCTCAATGGGCCTCAAGGAAGCCCTGATCTGTCTACCCTCCCTTCCTTCTCTTTCTTTCTTCTTCTTTCATGTCAGACTGCTTTATTACACCTTGACTAACGAAAGTTTAATATATAGCATCTATCTCATATCTATCTCATATCTAGTCTCCTTTCAGTACACTAACTTTAATATTAAATATAAGAATTGAGGGGAGCCCTGGGAAGAGGCTCAGTGGGTGAGCAACTGCTTGCTGTCAAAGCATGAGGATCCCGAGTTTACAATAGGTGAGAGTTTAAGCCTCCTGCAAGTCTTCTGATCTGCAACTGCTCTGTGCCGTGAATCCCCTCCTCCACCCCGCAAAAAGGAATAAAAAAATCCATCTGGATTTTCTTTTGACATCTATATGTTAGGACTTGGAAGACAATATACATTGAAACATGAATAGAATTCTGTTTTTTATTTGTTTGTTTGTTCTTTTTTGAGACAGGGTTTGTGCTGCCCTGGCTGTCCTGGACCAGGCTGGCTTTGTATTCGGGTAAGTCTGCCTCTGCCTCCAGAGGGCTGGAATTAAATTCGTGGGTCACCACTGCCCAACGAATAGAATGATTTCTATGCAAAGAAGTCAGAACAAAATCTAGTCAAGTAATGGGCACATCTGCACCCCGAAATGCTCTCAGAAGAAACCATGCAGCATACCTACGTTTAAATTCATTTTCTGCACTTTAGGTAGCTCCTGATGTTCACAGGATAATGAGGGCAAACATTTTGGATGAAGGAAAAAAGAACTACAAAGACATACATACTTATTACTACCGGTAATTCTTCTCAACATGTTGGTGCAAAAAAATAACAAAACACGCATAATATATATGGAAAAGAAATTAATGCCAATCTCCCCCGCCCCGAGGGGGAAGGAGGAAGAAAAACTAATAAAGGAAGGCCCACCACTTTAGAAGTCACTGCTCTAAACCAGCATTGCTGTAGAGATTGGCATACACAGCTTTCTCCCAGCAAGCTGTATCTGTAAACCTCACTGGGCTTAGTGCTTAAATGCGGGCTTTGAACACGGAGCCCAAGCTAGGCTCAAACTCTTTATGCAGCTGAGGGTGACCTTGAACCTTTTCCTGGTTCTCTTGGCTTCACCACCCCGTGCTGGGTATTTTTCCGAGAGCCAACACTTCCAAAGATCCAAACAGACAAGGAGTGTGCCCACTACCACGTGGGGATGAGCTCCGCCAAGAGGCGCAGACTCCACACCACACTACACCATACCACACCACACAGGGGATCACAGGACGGTTTACCTAAAACTCGCCTCTTGCTAGGTAACCGAATCGCCTCGGCGACCGGAAGAGGAAGATGCGGGGCTGCCCGGAACCGCGGAAGGCGGGCGCACGCAGTCTCCCTGGGCTCCGCGGAGACGGGGGTACACAGCGTCCCGGTCTCCATGAAAACAGGCCACACCCCGGCTATCCCGGCCCGTGCCTGCCCAGTGCGCAGACGCACATGCCGTTCCGCGCATGAGCAGTGCGGCTTGGAGCCCGCCAGCCCGTATCTCCGGCGCCAGCTACGCCGCTGTGGCTGTCACTATGGCCCATTACAAAGTGAGGGGGGCGCGGCGTGGCTCGGGGCGTGCGGGCGGCGCCGGGTGGGAGTTGGGGCGCGTGCAGGGCTTGGGGGCGGCGGCGGGGCGCACCGTCTTCCTGCTCCGGCCCGGGCTCGGGTCCCTGACCCGCCGTGTCTCCTCAGGCCGCCGACTCGAAGCGCGAGCAGTTCCGGAGGTACTTGGAGAAGTCGGGGGTGCTGGACACGCTGACGAAAGGTGAGCCGGGCGGGCGGCGGCTGCTGGTGCCCGCGCGCTCCCGGCCAGGTGGGGCCCTCACGGGGACCGGCGAGGCCTTGGGGTCTCGGGGGTCGGGCGCACGCCGGCTGCGGGACGTCGCCTCGCCCCCATGGCCGCTCTCAGCCCGGGACAGAAACTCTTGCAGCTGTTGCAAAGTCTCTCCAACTTCCGTTGCCTTCCCTCGAGCAGCCGCAGTGGACACGTTAGCAGGAGACCTTAAGATCCCAATTGCTCCCGCCTTAGAGTGTGCGGGATCTTACACATTTTCCTTTGGACAAAAGGCAACTAAGAAAATTACTGGGTTTGAAAAAGGGTTATTACTAGTCCTTTAAGCTGGGGAATCATAGACAATTTGATTCGTGGCTTTTCAACTCTTTCAGCCTGTAGTAATTCCTACTTTGTGTAGATCTCATAATTAAAGTAGAATTGGATTTTGAAGAGCGTCAGAGCACATAAAAGTGTCTATATTGTTTACCTTAAAAAATTGAAGCTTACTGTTAAGGTATATCCTTTCCTTTCTGGGTGTAAGGTTAGAAAGTATGGTGACCAAAACCAGAGGGACCCTCAGAGTGATGATAAAGCTGAACTAGCCTGACTGACAGTACGGAATGCCTGCTACTTGTTACTCAACTTAACACTGCCTGGTACTTTTAAGGGGTTAGAATGGAATTGCTGGCAGGGATCGAAACCTTGGCCCTTTTAAGAATGGGAAGTGTCTGGGAAATCATTTGTATCTGCTTTTTAGGGAAACAAAGGCTAGGGTAAGTTATGGGAGAATTTAGCAGAAACCGGTGCTTTTAATCCCCTCACATGGATGAGCTGACAAGGTTGGATTACTACCTACTTTCGACTCAGATATTAATTTCCTATATCTTTGCAAGTCAATGTGAGCAAATTTTAAGAACTACTGTGTGAAGGCACTGTACTCTGTGGCCTCGGAAGTGTCACAGATGATTGGAATTCTAGTTAAAAGAAAAAAACCCCATGTTTGTTTCCTTCAGTTAATGATCTTATTCCAGCCCTGTGTTCTGGGCACCACGTGATACAGCAGTGGAAATGTCCTCACTGTCAGGTGCTTGTAGCTTAGTTAGGGACACACATACTAAAACACATTTCCAGCTAGTGGTAAATGTATTAACTTAAACAATTGCAAGGCTAGGGGATAAAGATGTGACACTTTACATTGAGTGGTAGAGGGAAGACCTTTGAACAGAATTGAAAGTACAGCTAAGTATTCTTAAGCTGAAAATTCAATCTGAATTGCTCCAAAGCCTGTAAATTACTGAGCATTGATATGGAAAATCCCATATCTGACTGCATAAGTTATGTCAGTCAATATTCAAGAGCCGAGGAATATATTTGCTTGTGCAAGGTCATGTACTTATTATGTATTTAAGGTCCATATGGAATGTAAATGAATTTCATGTTTAGGCTTGGATCTCATCTCCAAGATATCTCATTATGTATGTATAGATATTCCAAACTCAGATAAACCCTGAAATACTGCTGGTCCCAGGTATTCTGTGTGTGAGGGTGGGTAGGGGTTGGATGCAGCAAGTGGACAGAAAAGTAGTAAAAGGCAGGTGGGGGATACTTGGGGGTAACTGAATACAGAGAAGATGCGTGGCCTTCAGGCTGTGTAAGAGATTGGAAACCTTTGCGTGCTCCTAACCTCAATCTTTTAAAATTCTAGTCTCCTAGATCATATCTGACAGCATAGTATCTATTGATTTAACTTTAGGGGCTGGGGATTTATTTAGCTCAATGGTTGAGTTCTTGCCTAGCAAGCCCAAGGCTCTGGATTTGGTTCTTAGCTCCGGGGTGGGGGGGGATGGGTGAGGTGGGGGGGTGAGGGTATGTCTTCAAAACAAAACAAACCCTTAATTTTAAAGGCTCAAACATAAGCGATTCATACAAATTTACATTTTCCTATCCAGCAAACATTTCAGAGAGGGTTTAAAATAGTTTTTAATGTCAAAACACTGTAAGAAACCTGGCGTGGTGACTGTTTTTAGTGCTCTAGTGAGGGAAGGCAGATCTTTCATTCACTGCTTGTCTGGGGTACATAACAAGACCTGCCTCAAAAAAGATGCAAACTAGAGCTAGGTTGGAGAGATGGCTCAGAGGTTCAGACCACTTGATGCACAACCATAAGGACCAGAGTTGAGATACCAGCACTCATATAGTAAGCCAGACAGGGTCTCTGTGTAATCCCAGTGCTTGGGAGGAGGCAGGGGAACAGGATGGTTTTCAAGGTTTGTTGGCTGCTAGTTTAGCTAAAAGAATGTAAGCTCCAGGTTCAGTGAGAGACCTTGCCCCAAAATATCTAAGGCACATGCAAAGAGCAAGGCATCTTGTCTTATTTCTAATTGTACTTGATAGACTGACGTAGGGCTCCTGCTTGAGTCTGAGGCCAGCCTGGGTTAGAGCGAGACTATATCTTTAAAACAAAAAAAATCAAACCAACCAACAAACAACCCCTTGAGACAGCCGGGCGGTGGTGGCGCATGCCTTTAATCCCAGCACTCGGGAGACAGAGGCAGTTGGATCTCTGTGAGTTTGAGACCAGCCTGGTCTACAAGAGCTAGTTCCAGGACAGCCTCCAAAACCACAGAGAAACCCTGTCTCGAAAAACCAAAAAAAAAAAAAAAAAAAAAATCCTTGAGGCAAAAACATCCATAAATAAAGTGGATGGGTAGCAAATCATTTGGGGCATCATTTTGTTATTTTGAGCAAGATATCAACCCATAAAATACCTGGCTTTAAATAACCTGGCTACTAGGGGCCAGCAAGGCTCAGCAGGTGAAGGTGCTTGCTACCAAGCCAGATGGACCTGAGTTTGATTTCTGGAACTCACATAGAATGTGTTCTGAAATGTGTCCTCAGACCCCTTCTTCCCCATATGTAACTAATAGAAATAAATCTAGCTGCTAAAGCAAAAGGGAATATGATTTGGTTGAATTCTCTTCAGATAAAAAGTACAATTACCTCATAGAAAAGCACAAGAAACTTAACACTTTGCAGCATCAGCCTTGCATGCATCACCAACAGGAATTTGGAAGCTGAAGGAATAATGGAAGGAAAAGACAAGAGCCTTAATAGTCACACCTATAAAAGTTTAGATTCTAGCCGGGTGGTGGTAGCACATGCCTTTAATCTCAACATCTGGAGGCAGAGGCAGGAGGATCTCTTGAGTTCGAGGCCAGCCTGCTCTTCAGAGTGAGCTTCAGGACAGCCAGGGTTACACAGAAAAACCCTGTCTCCAAAACAAAACAAAACAAAACAAAAGTAGATTCTAGCTGGTCTGGTGGTGCATGTCTTTAATCCCACTACTTGGGAGGCAGCAGTCACAGACACAAGCAATTTCTCTTAGTTCAAGACCACCCTAGTTTACATAGTTCCAGGACAGCTAGGACTTCCTAGAGAGATTCGGTCTTTAAAAAAAAAAAAGTAAATACACCGAGCATTGGTGGCACACGCCTTTAATCCCAGCACTCGGGAGGCAGACGTCTGTGATTTCAAGACCAGCCTGGTCTACGGAGCGAGTTCCAGGACAGCCTCCAAAACAATACAGAGAAATCCTGTCTTGGAAAACAAAACAAAACAAAAAAAGTAAATAAAGGTTAAATTTAGTTCGATCAGTGGAAGTAAATGGAAGAAACAGTTTTGAATATGTAATTTAGGAAAAGTAATAGAGAATTGAGTATTGTAACATACTAAGAGATTATTGGCAGATTGTGATGGTATAAATGTGCAAATTTTCTCAAAAACTTGTGTATTTTAGTGTAAGTTAAAAGTACCCGCTTGCTGTTTTTATACTATATTTAAATTAAAACTCTAAAAACCAGGAGGACATGTAAACTGGTTTAGAACAGGACTTCTTAATTTGGACTCTGAAAGTTACACATACTGAACAACTACATTTTTTGCTTTTGTTAAAGTTGGGTGTGGTGACACACACTCATGGGAGAACTGAGGCAGGAGGATTGCCACGAGTTTGAGGTTGGGCTACACAGTGAATTCTAGGCAAGCTTGGGTTCCCTGTCTTAATTACACACAGGTTCAGGTGTCTACACACTCAGGAGATTTTTTTTAAAGGGTCCTTAGCACTAGAACTTGTCATCTCAATATTGAATTCCAGGAGGATTTGTTTAGTAGATGAGTGACATAGTGTTCACATGAGGCACAAACACATTTTTATTTATTTATTTTTTGGCTTTTTGAGACAGGGTTTCTCTGTGGTTTTGGAGGCTGTCCTGGAACTCGATTGGTAGTCCAGGCTGGTCTCGAACTCACAGAGATCCGCCTGCCTCTGCCTCCCGAGTGCTGGGATTAAAGGTGGCACCAACGCCCGGCCACAAATACATTTTTAAATGCCAATCTGAACATATTGATTACTGGTAACATTTTTGGTTGGTGCCTAGCCTGTTATATATAAGACTTAATTCTTGAGTATCTGAATGGAATGCTTCAGTTAATTACCTAACACTTAAATTCCTTTAGTTAGATTACATTAGAATTTTTTTTTTGTTTGTTTGTTTGTTTTTACGAGACAGGGTTTCTCTGTATTGTTTTGGAGGCTATCGGTCCAGCCCAGCCTCGAACTCACAGAGATCCGCCTGCCTCTGCCTCCCGAGTGCTGGGATTAAAGGCGTGCGCCACCACCGCCCGGCAATTTTTTGTTTTTTTAAGACATGGTTCCTTGTATCATAGGCCTGCAGCTCATTGCTTTTCCATGAATGAATGGCCTCAAACTCCTTATCCCTCTGCCTCACCTCCTCAGTACTGAGATTACAGGCGTGGGCCATTACACCCAACTTTCTTAATTGTTCTGCCATTTTCCATGACCCATTTCAGTTAGTTTTGCATACAGCATTCAGGAATGATCTTGCCACCCCCTTGCTTTGAAACTGTTGAAATATGTTTGTAGCCTTTAGGATCAAAGTTCAACTAAGCTTTTCTCAGTTTTCCATTGTCTGACCCTAGACTACCTTTCTGTTTATTACCCACAAAGTATTTGACACATTAGTTCCCATTTTTATCTGAAACACAGCAAGGGCTCTGATGCTAAGTAATTCTCCAGTCTCACTCCAAAACTCAGTAACCACTATTAGAGTTCAATGCTCTCTGCATTCCTTGTCTTTTGCAATGGACTGTAAATTTGTTGCAAGCAAGAACACTGACTTATTCACCACTGTATCTTAGCAATCCGCTTGCCATATAGCAGGCAGATAGTATTTACTGAGTTTCAGAATATTTCAGCCATCTATACTTAAGACTTCATTGCTTTTCTTTCTCTTTGATTTGCAGTGTTGGTAGCCTTATATGAAGAACCAGAGAAGCCCACCAGTGCTCTGGAGTATCCTTTTCATCTCTGAAGTCAAAAAGGCCATATTTTTGACATTAAGTTTTCAAATATATAATAATCTTTAAATGCTGTTGTTTATTGAAAAGTTCTTTTGAATCTTCACATGACCTTGATAACTACTGGTAGTGTGGTGGGTAATTTCCCCCCCAGCCTCATTCTTCTGTGAGTACATTCTTAACACTGATGTTAGTTTTTTAAAGCATCACTTAGGAGCTGCTACCCCGGAAAACCCAGAAATAGAGCTGCTTCGCCTAGAATTGGCAGAAATGAAAGAGAAATATGAAGCTACTGTAGAAGAAAATAAAAAACTGAAAGCAAAGGTAAATTTAAAAAAGAAATTCAAATTAAAAAACAATCTTGTCTCTAATGATTATCTGACTAGATCCTTACTACAGGCCAGGGATACAGCTCAGTGGTAGAGCATTTGTCTGGCATGTGCAAAGGTCCTGGGTTCCATCTGCAACATGATAAAACGAGAGTAAACAACTAAACCCAAAACTTCACTAAATGGGCAGCAGGGAGGGACAGTGAGTGTCAGTCTGGATCAAATGCACAGCAAACTTAGGCCTCATCTAGTAAAATCCCGAGACTGACAATAAATAGGATAAGCAAAGTGTGGTTAAGAAGAGGGAATTGGAAAATCTATATCAATAAAAAGGCGGGAATGCTGGTTAATATTGCTTAAAATAGATGGATAATTGTAAGGTACTTAGGCAGTTTAGGTCAGTCTAGGCCACTGCTTTGTTAAGGGCACCTAGAAAGGGGCAGTGCACAGTCTGCACTATCTCAAGCATACTGGCTTCAGGTTCACAAGGACAGGAGTAAACTGTACTCAATTTTATCTAGAGCTGAGGTTTTCCCTTTGTTCAAACTTCATAAACTTGAACATCAACTCAAAGTCTTTGAGGCTTATCACATTCTGAACTACATGACACACTTTCTAAGTCTGACAGCTAATTGAAAGAAGTCAAATCTGAAGTTTAGTGTTCTTGTAAGGAATCATAAGTTTTTATAAAAGGAAATGCAGTGTCTTAGATTATTAAAGATACTGAGATATACACTTGGTAGTCTCTATGTAGGTCAGGCTGGCTTTTCAAACTCAGATCTGCCTGCCTCTGCCTCCCCAGTGTTGGGATCCCTGCTGGTACTTTTAAGTCAGACAGACATTAGTTACTTTTCATTGGCTGATTCACATAAGACAGCTCCATATTACACTGCATGGCTTTTTGGAAAGATAGACTGTTATGTACCTAGTATTTGAACAGTTCAGTTATGAATTGAAACTAAAGTTTAGTTCCCCAGCAATGCTAAAGGTGTATACAAAAAAGGATTTTGTTATTTTTAATTGTACTCAATTTAAGTAAGCAAATGGTTTAAGATAAGTTCAGGATTGATTACTGACTCAGTAACTTAAGTTGAATGTAGTATCTAATTTCATTGTGTACTAAGTTTTTTACCCAATTTAAATAAAATTCACCTAAATCCTCTGTCTTTGCCCCATAGCTTGCTCAGTATGAGCCACCTCAGGAGGAGAAGCGTGCTGAATAGGATTCTTCTCAGTTGAAAAGACACTGAAAACTGGTTTTGTATCACTTGAATAGCTTGTATAGTATATAATCTTTCCTGAAAAGATGCTATAAACTTTTAATATGTTAAATCGTTAAATCCACTCATCACACTTTAATGTTATAAACACATATACATAGAATCACCAATAAAAACTCAATATAACTTTCTTTGGGTCTTAAAGCAGGAGAATCCAAAGTAAATCTCGAAGAAAAGCTAAAGAGCCACAAAACTTTTCACTTTCAAAAACATTTTATTTATTATCCAATTAGGAATGATGGTACTGGTTGTATTTTAGCTAGGAGATGTAACATGGAGCTATTCCTTGGTTGAGGACTTGAGCACAGTAGGCACACTCATTCTTGACAGTGTATTCCCAGTAGACAGCTGGACAGATCTGTGATGAATGATGCTTCTGCATGGATTCCCATGCGTCTTGCTCCTTTATATAATATGGAACAAAGAACTCTTCTTTGCCACCACTTTGCCTTAGATAACTTGTGTGTGCCAGTGTGAACTCTGACACCACAGTTTCTTTCTATGCAATCATGCCCATCTGATAATGCTGCCTTGCTGTGTGCTTTAGTGTGTCCTGGTTGCACAGTAGTCTGTGTTGTTTTCAGTTTGCTTAATGCTGCAGCTACCCTGATTGTAATTTACATAGCTTCCAACTTGATGATACACTCTTACCCTGCCTTACTTTACTTAGCTCCTTAGTTGAGCACAGAACAGAAGAGATAAATAAAATTTGGGGTTTACACACCAGCTGTGATGGAAAGGGGGATGAACCGTTATGTCATAGATGATTTATTATTTTTTTTGGTTTTTCAAGGCAGGGTTTCTCTGTGACTTCGGAGGCTGTCCTGGAATTAGCTCTTGTAGGCCAGGCTGGCCTCAAACTCACAGAGATCCGTCTGCCTCTGCCTCCCAAGTGCTGGGATTAAAGTCGTGCACTACTACTGCCTGGCTGTCACAGATGATTATAATATGTAATTATATAGTGCTTTTTTCCCCCCTCAAAGGTATTTTTTGATCCTTGAATTAGTTTTATCTTTATTATCCCTGTGAAGTAGGTAGGGCAAGTATGAAAGGAGGTTGGGTGCTGAATTTTTAGGCCAAAGAGTGATATTTATATGAATTTGTTGATAACTGTAGACCCCCTGGGCAGGTCAGTTACAGCGTGGAGATTCACTTTCTTGTCTGTACCATGAGAACTTGTGCTGCCCACCTCACAGGGTTGTTGTGAGGTCAAATGAGAGTGTACATGAAAGATGTGTAAACGGTAAAGTACCACTTGTTTTGTTAGTTCTCTTCTTTCCTTTTGGGTAGGGGACAGTCTCATTTACCCCCAGGCTGGCCTTGAAGTTCTGATCTTCTTGCTCCAACTTCTGAATGCTGGGATTATAGGTATTCACCACCACATCAGGCTCTTTCTCCTTTCTCTGGGAAGACTCAGTCAGATGTATTGTTGACTAATTACTTTCCTCACACAGACATTGGAGTTCTTGCATTTCATGCCTTCTACTCTTGTTGTTAGGGAGCCTGTCTTTAATTTGGATCACAGCACACATCCCAATTAAAGCTGGTTTAACCAGCTGAGGCACTGGCACCTTCTAGAAACTCTGACCAAGCCATTTACAAGGGCATTGTAATCAGTCATGTTGGCACGACTGTGGCAATTGTCTGCATTTCTTCCAGTCACAAGTTTGTTTCTGGAGGGTGGCCAGCTACGACTGAAATTCTTTCAGCTGGACAGATTCTCTTCTTACGAATTTGAGTGCCTCCTGGATGGATAGCACTGGGCTAAGTGCTGGTTTGGTAAAGATTCATTTATTATGAGACACATGTAAACATCTACAAAGTGGGTTAGGGTGTGCTAAGAACTGTAGGAATAGCAAAACAGCCTCATGAGGAATAGGAAGAGAGAGTACTTAGCTTCTTTAGGCTGGTTATATGGCAGCCATTTTGTTGATACAGACAACTACATTTTGTTTTCTGGCAGTCTTTTTCCCCTCTCATGGTATTATTGTTACTTATTTATCCTAAGACAGGGCTCACTCTATGTAGCTGTGACTGGCATGGAACTTACTATGTAGCAGATGGTAGCCTCAAACTCAAGATTCTCCTGCTTCTGCTTCCCAAGGATTAAAAGGTGTGCAACACCATGCCTGGTCTAATGTTACATTATGTCACTTGGTCTGTGACTTTTTGAACCATCCTTTTGCACATTAGATTACCTCTTGTAGGTAGAACTGACCTGGGCCAGCCATTGATATTTAAGAATTCAAGGTCTGGGACTGGAGCAGTGGTTCGGATAAAGAGCACAGGCTGCTCTTCTAGAGGACCTGAGTTCAATTCCCAGCACCCACATGGTAGCTCACAACCATCTATAGTCCTCTTCTGGCATGCAGATGTACACGCAGACAGACTGCTCAAATTTAAAAAAACAAACAAGCCCATAAATAAGTAAATCCTAAAAAAGAAAAAAGATTTGAAGGTCACGGGGCATGTTAAGCCACCTCACATGGACCCTCTCTATCATTTCTATCAAGGACTTAAATGAAAACTGTATACAAGATGATGCTAAAAGGAATAGAAAATATAATTCATCTCTTCAGTTTCTGCTACACTTCAGCTGCTTCATCTATAAAATAAAAATTATAGGCTCAGTGGATAGAGGTGCTAGGACACAGGCCTGAAGAACTCAGTTCAATCCCTGGATCCTACAGGTGACAGAAAAACCCACTCCCAAGAGTTATCCTTCCAGATGTGCACACCAGCATGCACACATTACATATAAAATGAAGTCTGAACAGACTTGATGGGCCATGCCTGTAATCCTAGCACATGGAAGGAAGAGGGTCGGGAATTGTAAAGTCATCTCTGACTACATAATAAGTTAGAGGCTAGCCTTGGCTACATAAGACCTGTTTCAACACCCCCCCCAAGGTGTGTGTGTGTGTGTGTGTGTGTGTGTGTGTGTGTGTGTGTGTGTGTGTGTACTTTTACATCTTACCTACAAGGTTATTGTCAGGATCAGATTAAATACATTGAGTATAAAAGTACCTTGCAAACTGTAAAGGGCTATCTACAGATCAGTTGTAGTAATGCCACATCTCTAAGTATCACAGAATTGGAAAGGTTGACTGGTAGACTACTTTGAAACAGGGTTTAATGTGGTAATCTGGAGTACCTAAACTGCTGGGCACAAAAAAGCTAATAATATCAACTCATATAGCAGTTAAAAATGTAGTTATATAAGTTTAGTGAGTAGGGTTTCTGACAAAATACTAGTTCTGGTGATCACTAATGTGAATCATTTATATTCCCAGGAAACTTAAACGTCCATCTGGGGAATAGAAATGTCCAGGTGCTAAATAAGTGTCTGAAAGCCCTGCTGGTCACTCTGTAGGTACCATGTATCTGAAGGATGCTGACAAGCATGAATGCATTTTAAGGAAGAATGATCAATAAGGAGAAGGGATGTGAAAGTATGGCTGAGTTGTCTAGTGTGGTTGCCACCAGTTACACAGAGCACTTACTCAAAACAAAAACTCAGTTCCTCAATCACACCAGCAGTTTTTCTAGCATTCATTCATGTGGCCAGCAGGTACTATCCCAAACAGTACAGACATAAAAACGTTTCTACCCTCAGCGTCCTACTGGACAGTAATGTGGAAGCAATGATTGAAGCAACTGAGGATAATGGGGAGCAGAGAAGACTTTGGGGGCCTGGGACTCACTTATATCAGGTTGCATGCGAAGACTTGGTGTGTAATGGGGACTATTTGAATAGTAGAAGGGCTGTTGTGAAGAAGGGACTATTTTGTTCCACTTTCGGATTTGAGGACTATGATTGTGGGCTTGAAACTCTTTTTGAAACTGACTGATAACAGAGAATAACCTTGAGCTGCTTTCTGGTCCTCTTGCTTTTGCTTCCTTGGGCTGTGATTACAGACAAGTGCCCAGGCCTGGGTTATTTCATGAAGACTAGGCAAGCTTTCTGCCAACTGAACTACATTCCAAACCCCTTGTATAAGAAACTATAAAAATGGGTTTTTATTTTATGTGTATGAGTGTTTTGGCTGCTTGTATGTATGTGTACCATGTGTGTGCCCTGGCATCCTTGGAGGCCAGAAGAGGGCATTGGAACCCTGACATTGGAGTTGCAGGTGGTTGTGCTGAATATGGTTCCCTTTTAACTACTGAGCCATTTCTCCAGCCTAGATTAAAATTTTGAGCAGGGCAGAGCTTTGGAGATGGCTCAGTGGGTAAAGCACTTGTCACATAAATGTGAGGACTTAAGTTTGAATCCCCAGAATTCACAGAAAATTGAGCAGATCTGAGTAATTTCTGTAATCCCAGTGCTCCTGTAATGAGATGGGAGGTGGACAGGCATCAGCCCAGAGATTTGCAGGCTAGCTAGCTTTGCATATGCAATGCTAAACAACAACAGTGACTTTCACCAAAACTCAAGGTGAGAGGAAGAAGACCTTTATTCCTATACCCTACCCAAAACTTAAAACTTTTACCAGGGCTACCCTTAAGTTTGATTTCCTCTGGCAAACAGTTGGTTCTCTGAATCCATGGATTCAGTCAACTGGCTCGGAAATTTGGGGGGTTTGTGTTGAGCATGTGTAGACTTGATTCTTGCCCATACTCTATGCAATACAGTGTAACCACTTTACATCCCCCCATGACTCCCTTAAAAAAAGGGTCTCTAGCTCAGGCCATCTAGGAACTTGATGTGTAGAGCTGGCTGACTTCGAACTTATTGGGGGAGCCTGCATCTGTATCTAAAGTACTGAGATTTACAGGTGTGTGCTATCTACGTCATGCTTGTAAAGATACCATGCCATTGTATTGGGCATTATAATTAATGCCGAGCCGATATAAAGTATGTGAGGTGTGTGCATAGGTTCACATGCATTCTTCCAGTCTGTTTGTGGGATTTGGGGTGTCCTTTAAGCAGTCTCCCATAGATAGTGAGGGACATGCCTGCCTATTAGATACTATGGAGTTGGAATTTTTTTAGGTGAGGTTGTGATGATATATCCTGCCTTTAACTTCTAGGATCAGGCATAACCAATGTGCCAGGCCAATATGAGCTTACTTTTTTTCTCCACAGTCAAGTCAGTCTCTCTGAATGGGAGATAAGGCTATGTGGTACAATTTGCCTAGCATACACAAAAGACCCCGAATTCCACCCCCGGCCCTGCAAATAACATAGTCACCTTGTGAAACGAAGACCCATACCCCAACTCCTTTTAAATGTACAGAGCCGTTCTTTAAGGTTTGTCAAAATTCCACTTCTGGAGTCCGAGACAAGAAAATTCTCATATGGCTTTCTGAAGCATACTTTGGCAGCAAGCATTGCCTTCATAATCACAAGGAAGTCAAAGATAATTCGGTACTCAGTGGCTGGATGAGACAGTGGAGGAGCACTTTGACCAGGTTGGCACTAAGAAAGCTAGAGTCCGTTGAATATAAGGACAGCAAGATTCTATCAGCAATCTGCTTGCAGCATGCTTGTATTTGTTTTCTTTATCGGCTCCAGCTACCAGCTAGGGCAAGTTATCACTGGGACTCCTAGCTGACTGCCCTCTGGTTGGCTCCTACTTTATACACTTTTCGCACATCCCAAACGCATCGTCGGTCAGGACTGGCTCACACACGACCTCCTGTGGGCTTCCTTACCCAATTCTGGAGCGGTTCGTCTGTGCTCATGGCCTTCTCACATAAAATCTGTTCTGAGTCTACTTAAACAGATGTCCAATCTCTGTTAACCTTCAAGCAACTCGCAGGGACAATTCGGTTTCAGTTTCGAGTGCCTTCCTGGTGGTACCCAGGATCTGGCAGGCATCATACAAATACTGGCTGGGCAGTTGCAACCGGAGGAGGAGGGGGTGCAATGAATTCTTACCCAGACGCCCAGAAGCATCTTCCCTGCGGTGCTCTCGGAGCCCGGAAGGAGGCGGGGAGCGGTGAGCAGCTCGGCGCGCGCAGGGTAGGCCGAGGTGCGTGAGGGATGCGCCCAGGGCGAAGGCCGGGAGCTCGACTAGAGGCGCGGCCGGGCCGGGCCGATCTCCTCGTGACTCCTCCCCCACCCCCATCAGCCGCTTCCAGTCAGGTGATTCCAGGCACGTGATGCACACCACCTACCCTGCTGCTTCGGAGTGGCAGCCCTCTCAGCCAATAAGGAGCCGGTGCTGGGCGGTAGTCCAATCAGGGTCGGGTTTGGGGGCGGGTCCTGCAGCAGCGGCTGCTGCTGGGGGCGGCGGCAACAGCGG